CGGTTACAAGGAAGAAGGGGAGGTGGAGGGATAAATTGGGAGTCTGGGATTTGCAGATGCTAACTACTATATATAAAATAGATAAACAGAAGTTTCTTCTGTACAGCACAGGGAACTATATTCAATATCTTATAATAACCTATAGTGAAAGAGAATATGAAAGGGAATATATATGTACATATAAATGTATAACTGAATCACTGCGCTTTACACCAGAAATTAACACAACATTGTAAACTGACTACACTTCAATAGAAAAAACGTACATTTAAAAGCTGCTTACAGATACGGAACTATAATAACTCTTTAAAACCATGGGCAGCAAAAATAACCATTGCCGTCTAGTGAGAGAATTAGAACAATTAGATAATGGAGTCAACTGGGAATATAATGAGGATAAAAGCCTGTCTTTAATCTTTTATTTATTTTAACAAATCTTAAAGAAGCATGGCAACATATTAACATTTTAACATCTGGTTGATATGTCATGTGTATTTGGTACACTACTTTATGCTGTTTTAAAAATCGGAATAAAAATGACTGTGAAGTTTCATGCACATTAAAAAGTATTAGCACATTCATTTTTATATAATTGGAACATTAGAAATAATGTAAACTCTAACTTATTGCATTTAACCTCATTGTTCTACTGATTTATAACTTAGGGAAAAAAATACAATATTAATAGGAAAACGAATTCATTCCTTGATGAATGTTCTTCCTACAGAAGAAAACATGCTCATAATAATAGCGTGTAATAAACATTGATTGAATACTTACTGTATACCAGGCACTGTTCTAAGAGATTTGGATGCATTAACTTGTTTCATTCTCACAACACCCTGCATGGGAGGCACTGCTATTATCTCCATCTTGTGGATGGGAAAGCTTGGGAACAGAGGGGCTATGTATCTCAGCCAGATTCCTCAGCCGGTGCGTGACAGAGGGTCCAGCTCCTGGGTAGCAGATGCTGCGATGGAAACTTGCACGGAGGAGCACTGCGGGGGACTTGCTGCTGAGAATGCCCCCTGGACGGGAGTGAGGGAGGCAGGACTGAGAAGAAGGGATTGATGCAGCCTCCCCTTTGCAGAGCGCTGGGCTGGAGAGAAGCCCTTCAGCTCCCTCCGGAGTTGAGTCTTGGGGCTGCTGGTGAGGCAGGGTCATGGCTGTAGCCATGGGAGAGGCAGCTCCCTTTGGCAAAACACAATTCCTGGGTGCTGACCAGCAGCTGGAGGATTGAGTGTATGTGTGTATGGTCATCAGTTAACACCAGTTTAACTTCAGTGTTACCCGTTTGGTTAAGGTCACGGCAGATTAACATGCTGACAACAGTCTCATTTGTCTTTAAGAACATGGCAGAGCTCGTGTCCAGGATGCTTTTATTACGGTGAGATTTAGGAAAAAAGTTAATGGTGCCAAGATTGCTATCATACTGTCCTGTAATCACCAGTGTTAGACTTGGAAGAGATCTCGGTCCAGAGCGGGACAATCATTGTCAAGGGCATAAAGCACAAAAGAGAAAAGGACATTTGAAAACCGTGGATTATTTACATGTGTGAGACACTGTTGACAACCGACCAGAGAGCTGCTTTGTGGTTTCATGTCCTGAAGCTTCGCTGTCATGTTAATTAGCGGTTCTGTGCAGTCCTAACCACCTTCTTTGCTCAAAGCCGTACTTTAAATATAGCAAGTTGTTTTTGCCAGAGACTCATGGGACATAAGACATCTGATATTTGTAATGGAGCCCTCAATGGTATCACTACTAAAATAAGACCAAGATTACATTTTTCAGTCTACAAGCTCCAGCTTTGTTCAGATCACCTACTGAAATGCGCATCACCTTCAAAATCTGGGCTGTGAGCGTTTTTAGTCTCTGCTTCTGCTTGTATTTTTTTCCCCTATACCTTTTGTGAAGATTTGGCATAGATTTGCATTAACAAGAATTACTCTTCCAGAGAAAAGTTCAGACTCTGAAGCATTCTCTAAAGTTTAGCAAATGGAAAAGACAGAACCAGTGCTATCCACGTGACCATAAGAAGGCTTCAGTTCTGGTGACAGAGAGGTTTGGCAGAGACGTTTGCTCCCTGAGAGAGTCGTTCTCTTAGGAATCTGCAGATGTGTCTCAGAAGGGTCAGTGGATCTTAACCTGACCCAGGATTTATTAACTGAGAAGTAAGTATCGTCTGTGATTGAGGACAGACAGCCAGTAAGGTACTAAGATAAATCATCTCTAACTCAGAAACGTAACTTTTTTTTACAGCTGACCTTGAAAATAAAGGCAGGCATAGTCTGATCAAAAGTGAGGCGACTTTCACACCGGTTATCCTCCTGCTGGGAAATGAAAAGATCATTTTCAGGCACTTTTTTTTTTAATTGAAGCAGAGTTGATTTACAATGTTGTGTTAGTTTCTGGTTACGGCATAGTGATTCAGTTATGCATACATATATATATATATCATTTTCCCATATTCTTTTCATTACAGATTATTACACAACATTAAATTTAGTTCCCTGTACTATACAGTAGGTCCTTATTTTTTTTTCTTTTTACCTATTTTATATATAGTAGTGTGTATCTGCAAGTCCTAAACTCCTAATTTATCCCTCTCCCCTTTCTCCTTTGATAACTGTAAGTTTGTTTTCTATGTCTATGAATCTGTTTCTGTTTTGTAAAAAGTTCACTTGTGTCATTCTTTTAGATTCTATGTGTAAGAGATATCGTATGATATTTGTCTTTCTCTGCCTGACTTACTTCACTTAGGATGATAACCTGTAGGTCCATCCATGTGCTGCAAATGGCATTATTTCATTCTTTTTTATGGCTGAATGGTATCCCATTGTATATATAATACCACATTTTCTTTATTCATTCATCTTTCCATGGACATTTAGGTTGTTCCCATGTCTTGGTTATTGTAAGTAGTGCTGCTGTGAACATTGGGGTGCATGTGTTGTTTCAAATTAGAGTTTTTCTCTGGATAGATGCCCAGGAGTAGGATTGCTAGATCATATGGTAAGTTTTTTAAAGGCATCTCCATACTGTTTTCCATAATGGCTGCACCAAACTATATTCCTAACTACAGTGTAGGAGAGCTCCCTTTCTCCACACCCTCTCCAGCATTGATCATCTGTGGACTTTTTAATGATGGCCACTCTGACCAGTGTCAGGTGATACTTCATCGCAGTTTTTGATTTGCATTTCTCTGATAATTAGCTATATTGAGTATCTTTTTGTGTGCCTGTTGGCCATCTGTATGTCTTCACTGGAGACATGTCTGTTTAGATCTTCTGCCCATTTTTGGATTGGATTATTATTATTATTATTATTATTTTTTTGTTATTGAGTTGTGTGAGCTGTTTGTGTGTTCTGGAAATTAAGCCCTTGTGAGTCCCATCGCTTACATATTTTCTCCCTGTCTGCAGGTTGTCTTTTCATTTTGTTTATGGTTTCCTTTGCTGTGCAAAAACTTGTAAGTATAATTAGGTCCTGTTTGTTTATTTTTGCTTTTATTTCTACTGCCTTGGTGGACTGACCTAAGAAAACATTGTTACTATTTATGTCAGAGAATGTTTTGCCTGTGTTCTCTGCTAAGAAATTTAAGATATCCTGGCTTATGTTTATGTTTTTAAGCCATTTTGAGTTTATTTTTGTGTATGGTGTGAGGGAGGGTTCTAATTTCATTGATTTACATGTGTCTGGCTGTCCAGCTTTTCCAGCTTGCTGAAGAGACTGTCTTTTCTCCATTGTGTATTCTTGCCTCCTTTGTCGAAGATTAATTGACTGTAGGTGTGTGCGTTTATTTCTGGGCTCTGTATTCTGAGGAACACATTTTCTGAACATAATTTATTTCAGATCTATGCTGGGATAAATAAAAACACATGTGCCTTAACACATGCAAAAAATAGGAAGTAATCTTTATATGAGTAATTTAACACATTGTCTAGATTGTGGAGTCATTGTTTTACAAAACTGGACTGTCAAGAGACACTGTGTGTGGAGTAGAGACACTTTTAATGTGTGACCTTAAGTAAGTCAGCGTGTCCTGAAGCCACAAGACAATGGTTATAAAATCCAGCCAGCACATACATATGTACGTATATAAATATTGTTTAATTCTGGGCCAATAAATAGAAACCATTTGTAGGCTTCTTCTCTTCAACCACAGTGCAGTGGCTGGAAGAAAGTAAAATTTTTTCCTTCCAGTTTTATTGAGATATAATTGACATCCAGCAGTGTGTAAGTTCAAGCTGTACAGCATAATGATTTGACTTTCTTACATCATGAAACGATTGAATGAAACATCGTCTCATTCAACTCATACAATGTTAAAGAAATAGATAAAAAGGTTTTCCCTTGTGGTGAGCACTCTTAGGATTTATTCTCTGAACAGCTTTCATACATAACATACAGCAGTGTTAATTAATCGTATTGTACATTACGCCTCTAGTACTTACTTACCTTGTAACTGGAGGTTTGTACCTTTTGACCACCTTCATCCAGTTTCCCCTTCCCTACTGCTCCCACCCTCACCTCTGCTTACCACACAAATCTGATCTGTTTTTCCATGAGTTTATTTATTTTTGAAGTGTAATTGACCTACAACCCTATGTTAATTTCTGGTACATAACACAGTGATTCGCTGTTTATATACATTTCAAAATGATCACCCTGGTGAGTCATGTTTTCACAGAAAGTAAGTTTTGATGTTAGATTTCTCCTATTGCTCATCTGCAGAAACCCAGGGAGCCAGTAGATTCTTTTCCGGGTTACTTCTCTTGATTTCTATATGTGGTTGCCCAAATCCAAAGTCTCTATGAAATGCCATTTATACTAGAACAACCTTTGGTTAACTTTGACCAAGTATTGCAATGGAAAAGTGCAGTGATAAAGTCTCCTTTTTAGAGTCTTTAGTCCTGCTTTGTTATTTTTGGGATGAGGGAAGAATGCTTTTTAAACATAAATTTTAATTTATGTAATTTATAACTTATAAATCTAAGCTAAATCCAAGTGGTAGTGAAACTGTTAGGACTTCTCCAAAATGAATTTTCTTGAGATAAATAGCTTATGAGATTAGTGACTATGTATACAGTCATATCAAAACTCTGGGCCTTAACTAACGTTGGTTAAAAATTGTGTATAAGATGTTGGTGTCTAAAAATCTTATGTGAGCTAAAGTCAGAGTAGGGTAACACATCTGACTTAATATTAGCCAGAGAAGTTTAGCTATTGTTGAATATTGAGAAATTCCTTCCTTTCTCTCTCTTCTCCCATCCTGCTTCTGTTCTTGCCTTTCTTTCTTCATTCACTCTTTCTCCATCAATCACTCATTCATTCATCTTCATGTTCATTCATTTGACTAACAGTGACTAGCCACCCACTGTGTCCCAAGCCCTATTCTAGGCACTAAAGATACAAGATGCAGCAGTGAACAGCTTCAGGGGTTGTTTTCTTGTGGAAGAAGATGAAAATGATGAAAAATAAAATAGCAGACTATCCTAAGTGCTGTGAAGAATATAATACGTGGTGATGGGCTCCAGAGTGACTGGAGCAACGTGGTGCTCCTTTGGCAGAGAGTAGAAAGGAGAGGATTCTCAGGAAATGAGACCTGAGTGGTGAGAAGGAGGCAGCTGTGCTGCTTCTACCGAGGGGAACAGCACCAGAGGCAGAAAGGTAAGTATGAAGGCTCTGAGTCAGGTGGGAGCTGTTTATGGTCAAGGGACAGAATTAAGATCTGTGTGGTTGGAGCTCCATGATTTAGAGGAAGAGTGAGAGGAGACATAGGTAGGGGCCAGGTCACGTGGAGGTGTCACAGACCGTGGTAAGAAGTTTGGATTTATTTTGATTAAATGGAAGAGTATTGGAGAGTTTTAAGCAAGGACATGATTTGAAGCCTCCCGAATATGTATTTAAAAGGTGTTGGTGAGACTGTCATTTGCTAGATCACAAAATGCCCAGTTACTGAATACACAGTAAAGAAACTCCTTTCGGGTCTCAGTATTGGGGGAATAGTTAAAACCATTTTTAACCTTATCTCTGATTCATGTACCAAACGGTTTCTCTGTTTGATTTAATTTCCAGAGCGAATTTGCAGCTTTCGTCTAGCAAATATCTAATATGGTATAAATTTTTTTTAAATTTTATTTAAATAGATAATGTATTTATAATGTCCCAAAGTAAAAATGATATAGAAATTTCTATATACTGAATAACTTTGCTCCCATTCCAGCGTCTGTCCACTTCATCATTCATCTCCAATGGCTGTACACAGCCTCCTGCATTGATTTCTTGTGAGTCTTTCTGTTGTTTCTTTGTGCAGATACGAGCAAATATAAATGAAATTCTTATTTTCCTTCCTCTAGGACTGTGTGTGTGTGTGTGTGTGTGTGTGTGTGTGTTCTTCTGCAATATCGCTTTCTTTACCCACAGTTGAGTCTGGAGAGTTTTCCCTTTCAGCACACAGAAAGCTTTGTCGCTCTGTTCTAGAGGAGGCAGGCTTTTCTTTGACTGGAAGTGCTGTATGCTATTTAACCAGTTCTCATTGATGGGCTCTTGGTTTCTTATCTTTGGGTATTACAAATAGCACTGCGATGGCTAAACTTTTTCATATGTCGCTCTGCGTTTGTGAGATATCACTGTAAGATAAATTTTCCCAAGTGGGACAGCTGGATTGAAGTGTACTCTTCATAATATGTCATTTTGGTAAGTGTTTGTATTTTGCTAAGCATTGGCAGATTTTCCTCCGTAGAAGTTGTGCCTTTTTGCACCTCCACTACCAATATGTGGTAAGTTATGGTCCTTTTAATGGTTGGCTTTACTGTTTACCTATAGTTTACCAACATTTTTTTCTTAGTCTCAGCTCCCTAATTTATGTATTTCTATCCCTGTATGTTGTATATATTTTTGTAGGCCACTTGTAGGCCAATTTCAATTATTGGTTGAAAGAGGCATTGAATAGATACATTTTATTTGCTTTAATGATTTCTTTTAACACCCTGTGTTATGATTATTCTTTTATATTTTTACCCATTTGCCCACTATACTGAATGGCTTCACAACACCAGGGTCCATAATTTAGTAGTCCTAGGAGAGCAATGCCTGGCAGGTAATAGGCAATAAATATTTTCTATCTTAATGAATAGTTTAAAGTATAGTAGTATTACTCATAAGCCTAGTAGAGTTAAGTAATACCTGCTATGCAGAGAAAGAATCAGTGAATAATTTACTGAAACAGTTAATGAATATAGGATTTTTTTTCAGTGAATCCATTGTATCAATAGCAATAAAGAAATATTATAATGGAATGGACTGATCATCTTTTTCTCAACTGGATTATGTTAAAATATAAATGAAGATGATGATCCATCAGTACATGACCGTAGAGCAAATGAAATCCTATACGATATGACAGATAATGAAAACCTTCATAAAGAAATTGTCCAGCAAATAAATCGAAAGGTTAATCAAGAAAAGTGGCTAGGCAAAAAAACAATTCTAAGAGAGAATACTCTGCTTTAGGAAGCTTCAGATGACATCAATGGTCTAGGAAAATTCTGGCAAACTTTTAAAATAAAATGCTTAAACCTTTCTATGTGTAATGCTATGTGATTAAGCCTTCTGCAGCCAGTAAACTTGCCGCACATTCTAGTCTTGATTGCTTTATGATTTGTGTCTAGATGAGCTGAAGAAACAGCATTCTAAAACATTTAAAATGTGATATTACTGCTCATGAAACATGACTGTGCAGTAAAAAAATCTCTTGTCATTGAGCAAGAATGTCAGGTTGGAAGTCCTGCTCAGGGTCACTAATCCTTGTATATGAAACAACTAATCAGGGAAGACCGGACACCAAATAGGAGAGCCGGCAGATAAGGCTTTGCTCTCAGAGTAATGATTTTCAGGCATTAAAACACACTTTACCTCGTCAGGCTAATTTAAATGTGTACCTGCCAGATGTTACACATCACGGTGACTAAACGTGCATGTATCTTCAAAATTTTTTCATGCTTATTCAATAATCTTGGCATGAACGTATGACAGAATGATTTCATCGGACCTCAGGGAATATGATATTGAATATCACTCTGTAACCATTTGCAAGGCATATAAAGCTATGTCTTACTTCGGACAAGTTTAATTGATAAAAACTCACTTCTTTTACAGAAAGATTATTTGCTTTATAAATGATTCTTTTTTCAAAATTACGTTTAAGTGTCATTTTCATCATGAATTTTAATTCAACCTACGAATATCTATTTTCATTAAACACTTTTTTCAAACACATATAAATATTCTACATACTATGCTTGGAAATAAATGTACCTCTTTGCTTATGGTAAGTTACTAATGCTTTTTAACTTTTTGACATTTCTGAAAAATCCTTACAAGTATTTGAAAAGTTGGCTAATCCTTCTCTTGAATATTTTTCATTATTTCAGCAATTTTAAAAGGTGAGTTGCCGTGTTTAAATAACTACGGTAGCTATAGAATATACATATTTAGAATTAAAACCATGTGAAATAGTTTTTATAGAATGAAAATATTGAGATATGCCTTATTTTATTGACAGAAACCATCACCTATTATCATTTCATGCCTGGCAATACTTCCTTACTTGTGCAACATTCAAGTTAAATATATGCGTTTATAAGTATGAACTCTACCCACAGGATCAGGCAACTCAACAACCCACACACATACTGTAAATGAACCTCGTGTTACTTTTTATTCTTTACTAATAGACCTCATAAGCATATTAATAGATTTTACATTCATAAACAAGTTTCAACCTTCTCCTTTAAGGAAACATACACCAGAGTAGTTAGAATGATTTCTGGGTGTCACTGGAACTTCCTCTTGCTGTGAATTTTCTTCAGATTTTTTTAAACCATCGATCTCATGTAATCTTCATAGATGTTACATGAAAGAAACACTTAGAAAACTTTTCTTTCTGTGTCAGACACCGACAGGGTTTTTGTGTACAACATTTAACACCTGTGACTATGGGAAAGAGAGATGCTTAAGCTCTCAACAAAGTCAAGAACCTCGCTGGCAAAGTATTACTCATATGCCAGTAAAGGGAGCTGTAGTAGTAAAGGAATTATAGTAAAATCAAGTTACATTTTAAATTGCCTTTTGTATAAAAGTGTAAGATACACTACCTATAGTCTTTGAGCTAAAAAAGTAAAATCTTGGATCAATGGCTCAAACTCTAGCTCTAGCATAATTTTTCTTGGTTAAAAAATATTTTGAATATGAACAGTCTGGTTTCTTAAGTTGGCAAAGAATAGTTCAGGATTTAGAGGTTTGACTCTCACCTGGCTGCATGCTCCACTTTGATGAAACACACATAGTTTTAGACCAGGTTGGCCTTCCCATAGGTCCAGCTGGGGGACCTGCTTGGTACGCCGCGAATGCAAGGTCTTGCCTGCTCTTTACCTGGATTATTTATCAGGCTTGTGTTTGCAGCAGGTGACCTTAAGGGATGAGGTAGTGTCTCCATTCAGGACAAAAAGCAGTCTTGCTTACCCATTGTTTCAGACTGGCTCCGAAACAATGGATTTTTCAGACTCAGTACTCCTCTCCTGGAAAGCCACCTACCTACTGCCTGGGCAGGCATCATCTAACCCTCTAACTCACCCTTAATGACTGGGTTTGGGGAACTGATATGAATGTGCTGACGTTATGACGTTATGACTCCTGCTTTCTTTTAATTTATTGAAGTACAGTCAGTTACAGTGTGTCAATTTCTGGTGTATAGCACAATGTTTCAGTCATACATGTACATACATGTATTTGTTTTCATATTCTTTTTCATTATAGGTTACTACAAGATATTAAATATAGTTCCCTGTGCTATACAGAAGAAACTTGTTTTTTTAAATCTATTTTATATAGTTAATATTAGCAATTTGTGAACTCCCAATTTTATCCTTTCCCACCCCTTCCCCCACCCCCACTCCCGTAATCCTTGTTATGAAGAAGAATGCCTTTCACCTCCATTTCCCGACTCTTGTGTCTGGTTTCCTCTCAGAGCCTCTTGGCTGAGCGATTGTAACCATCACCTCGTTCTTTGTCTCCACTTAAGAATCACAGTATTGTGATTCGAAGCCTGAAAAGAGTTGTTTCCTGTATTTTGCTCAGTTTTCTAGTTGTTTGTGACAAAATGTTAAGTCCAGTCCCAGTTATGCCATCATGCCTGGACTTTATTTTTTTGGTTTAGATTTATCTGTTGAAATTCATCATCTTTTTTTTTTTTGGCCTCCATAAACAAAACAAGCACACAACTTTTAAAGCCTCTGTCCGGTGACTGAACTCTGCTATCTGGAACCTTGTGGTTCTATTGCATTTTTGTTTTTGCCTTTTGTCTCCAAGTTCTCTTTGATTATATGTGGATATTGTATTTGCAGAACTGTTTGTAAAAATCATTTGATGTCCAGGATGATGAGACAGCTTTAGGATGGTCCCCAGTGATCGCATCCTTGCTTAGTCTTTGCTGAGCATGAGCTGGACTTCTTAACTCCATTCTAACTAGTGGAAAATGGAGAAGGTAACACTATGTCACTTTCAGGTGTCAGTTCTAAGAGCCTGTGGCTTTCATTTTGGTCTCCCTCTCTTGCTCTTGGCTCCCTGGCTCTGGGAGAAGCCCCTGCTGTGGGCAGCCCTGTAAAGAGGCCCACAAGGTAAGGAACTGAAGTCTCCTGCCAACAGCCAGGTGGCTGAACTTGGAAGTGGCCCCGCTAGAGGCAGGCAGAGCGTAGGTGACCGCAGCACCATCTGACCCTGGGAGCGAAGCCTGCTGGAATCCTGAGCCAGAACCACTGAGCTGAGCCACTCCTGGATCCTGGACCCCCAGAAACTGTCAGATGAGAAACAGTTATTGTTTTAAGCCGCTACGTTTGGAATCATTTTTTACACATCAGGTCGATAACTAATAAAGATGATGTCTTTTAATAGTTAGGATTTCTATCTGCGTCTGCTGGTTGCCTGGCGGTGCCAGGCACTCTAGGACACCTGCGGATGCTGGTGGCCAGAACCTCCTGTCCTCAGTCTCAGGCAATGAGATGGTTCAAAGCTGAGATGCAGCCCCTTTGAGGGCCTTCCTGTGATTCACCCGGAGGTGACAGGGTGTCCCTCTCTAAGGGACAGCCTAAGGTGGGGGCCTTAGGAGTGCTCCCCTCAGCCCTGTACAGGCTCTGAATCCCAGTCTCAGTGGCCAAAGCACTAGGCAGCTTGTGGGTCCCATTCAGCTGCCCAGCTGCCCTCCTCTCCCTCTGGGATTGGTGGAGTTTCCTGGGAAGAAACTCGTCCACATCTGGGGTGGAGTAACCTGGACTCCCTTCCCTGCCATCCTCTGGGTGAATCTTCAGTATGCTGTGAGTTCTTTGATGCCTTCAGTTGGCTATTTCTTTTAACATTTTGTCCCACTTTTCTAGTTGTTCTCTAAGAGCCCGACTTGCTTCACCTACCGTTATTGGAGGTGAAAGTCAGACCCTCCTTTCTCTATCTGAGAGGCTGAACAGCAATAAAGTTTCTTGTCGCACGTACTTAAGTCACAAAGCGTACTTAGCTGTAGGTTTCAGTGCGATGGTTCACTGAATTCTGTAGGAATTGCATGTACTTACTTTCCATCTAATACTCCGGAGGGCGCTTTTCTGGTGGCCAGTCTGATTTGGCCTGCTTGCGAATTTTTCACGGCAGCCTTGCTAGTTTTCCAGCCCACACAGATGGGCGGCAAGGTGTTAACTCTGACATTAATTCATTTTCGGAGTTTTACGCTGGCAGACAGTGGTCTGTGTCTGATGTCACTTGGGTGACAGGGAATGAAGCTGCATATTTTCTACTATCATATTTTATCTCTTTGAATATTTGTTATTTTCTGCAAAGTTAATCTTGTTTTATTGTTTGTTACATACACTTTCTAATAAAGAAGTAAACAAGCTTGTGTGGATTAAGTACCAACTCCAAATCACATGGAGTACATATGTCTCTGAAAAATGCGTTGATAGGAGAATTAATAGTTGGGACTCTTAAGATCTTTTTGGGAGGGAAAAGCCTATGTAATTAAAAAAAAATTTTCCCTTATTTATTGGGGAAGAAATAGGTTTATTTATTTATTTACCGTTACTATTTTTTAATGGAGGAACTGGAGATTGAACCCAGGACCTTGTGCATGCTAAGCACACGCTCTACCACTGAGATATACCCTCTCCTCCCAGCCTGTGTAATTTTTAAAAGTAAATCTATGTATGTTCTCTTGGAAAAAAGCCAAGATACACTCTTCCTGAAAAAAAGTAGCTGTATACCCAAGGCTCCTGAGATATTCAGTTTATACATTTAATTATTTTAATTTACGAGTAGTATGCACACGGAGTAAGTTAGGTTATTGTTTTCCTTCATCCAAATGTTTAATGCTTCTTGGTTATACATATTAGAGTTGTTAAATCTCCCTAAGTCACATTTCAGTCTTGGAACAGTTGTCAATTAGTATATACAGACTCCAGAGTCAGAAATTTTGGAAGGAATTTAAATTCTGTCACTTAATAGTTGTAAAACCTTGTACAAGAAATTTAACCAGCATTCCCTCTGCTCTGTCCCTCCAGCCACCATGCTCACAGAATCAATATTACAACTGTTTTCCAGACGTTTCAATTTCTGTCTGAGAACGTGGTTAATGATAATATCTTTCTCACCTACCTCGTAGGTTTG